TTGATTCCTCAGTGGTGTGGTTAGACCAAGCCTCGTGCACATAAACAGTAAACTAATCTTGTCCTCAGGAGATTTTGATTTGCCCTTTCGCGTTTCTTATACTGCTGCAGCTAATGAAAGGCAGACTTAAAGCTTTCTCCTCTTAAATCTTAATGCTTTCCCTATTTGTTATTGGGCACGATAGGGACTTGCGGTTTTGGTTTCTTTTCTTCTCCACGCTACCTCTGTCTCATATATATACAGTACTTGCACAAGCTTTAAAATTTGTCCAGATGCATGTTCTGCTATTAAGCTTCTAGACAAAATCTTGCGGACCTACCATACACGCTTGGCTTGCACAAATCATGGCATATAAACATTTGATGAGACTGGGAATTTTGTGCTAGCTAGCTATCTTTTGCAAGACTAGTTTTGAATGTGTGTGTGTGTGTGTGTGTGTGTGTGTATAGGTGTGTATGTATGTATGTATGTATGTATGTATAAACATTATAAGGAACTTTGAGAATGCAATGTCAATGTAGGAGAAGACCTGCATATACATTATATATTTGATGCACAGCTGGTACTTGGGGCAATTTACAGGGTCTGAAAGACTGTCAATGTGGTGTCATATGGCATAATGGATCAAGGACAAGTAAAAAAATATCTGGAAAGAAGAAAGCTGTACAAATTTGGATTTTAATATCTGATTTGGGTTTATAACTTGCCAGTTTAATAAAATTTGGGTTAAGAAGTCTTTTGTTCTTTAAGATTATCTTTTAATACTTTTTTTTTTGTCACGTTGCGTCACAATGCGGAGAAGGAAATGAATCATCTCAGCCACAAGTCTTCTAGTGGATTCATGATTCCATATACACATGAATCATGTCTTCAAACTTCAAATGGATAAATATATGTATGCTTCTTCATTTTTTTGGTTATTGCTGCCCACTTACTATATGGTTTAAAAGAACAAAATAGTGTTTAACTTTGTAATTTAGACATGATGGTTGCCTTTTCCCCTGTCTCTTTTTCGAAAAGAAGTTTATATATTTGTAGGTGCTTCAAGCAAAAACACAATTAAAAAAATATGACTAGCGAACAAGATAACATATACGAGCCTCCCTACTTCCATTTCATATTGACTCGGAAAAAGACAACATATAAACCCATAATCCGCACAACATGCATGCTATGAGAATTTTCAATTGCGAGAGAACGAGTTCAACATCAAGCTCTGTACGTAGAAATTAGAAGACCTTGATCATTGATCAGAACCTAATGCCTTGACTTCAAAGTGTGATGTGACTTCAAAATATATGTGAAGTCAATAAAGGTCGTACTCAGTGCACAAGGCTCTCGCTTTACACAGGGTCTGGGAGATGTGAATGTCGGCTAGCCTTACCCCCATTTATGGAGAGGCTGCTCCCAAGTCTCGAACCCGAGACCTACCGCTCATGGGCGAAGGCACTTGCCACTTCTTTAAGATAAGAGTATGAACAATACTTGGTTACTCAAGATCAAATATGAGTGGAAACTCCTATTCAAAAAAATTTATGTTTGAATTACAGAGTTTTATGCTTATAATTATAATCATTCATATTATGAATCATTCTGTAAAGATCATCTCTGCAAAAAATGAATTAAAGTTAAGTTGTTTAGTCAATCTATTGTAACAAATATATAAACGATTCACAATGCTTTTACCAATTCTATTCATTTGTTTTTATTCAGTTCGATGACTAAACAACCTTAACTTTAATTAATTTTTTACAAAGGCAATCTTTATAGTAATTTATAATATGAATGATTCTAATTATAAAAATAAAATTCTAGGAATAAGTAACAAACAATTTGTAGTAGGAATTCCTACTCATATTTTGAATAGACAAATATTATTTAAAGAGTATTAGCTATCGTTTTCGGTTCATGAATATAAAACTTAAAAAGTTCATGTTGTGAGCCAATCCTGTATCCAAGTACTTTTCAACCTTAGTATGAAGGAGACATTCTGTTTTTCAGATTTCTTTCCCATCATATTTTTTGGAAAGTGATACTTCTTTTACTCTTTTCCCTACCATCACGGGTCTGGATCTTACCGGATTTTCTTTTGTGAGGATCCTGAGAATTTGTGAATCGTATCCGTTTATCGTAAATTATGCGGTTAAAATTCATTATAAATTTGTTTATTTAAAAATAGACATCAACAATATTTAATAAAAACTGATTGCACGATGTACAATGAACGAACACGATTCACGAATCCTCAAAATTCTCACCAAAAAGATCCGGAGATGATCCTGTTAGGTACATCACACCTGAAAAAGGAGCAAAATTAGGTAGATATATTGCTCGACTGATGGTACTTTTTTTATTTCAAAAACCATGAATTATGCATTACATATAGTAAACTACGCAACGATTGATAATCAACGATCACAAGAAGTTCCTCGAGGTTTCAACAGATTTTCTGGTTTGGAGCACATGCACTCATGTAAAATACACTCAAAACCGAAACATATGTATGCTAGTGTAGCTACAGTACTACTGATTTTAATGATGTCTAGGATCAGGACCTCCCGGACTCAATCGCTTCGGGTTGTAAACAGTTTGCTGCTCCTCCTCGTCTAGTTTTCTCAACCAAACGTTCAGTAGTTCCCTAGCACTTCCGGCCAATGCTTGACTCGACCCGGTTACGTTCCTCTTCTCCCCGCTCGGATTGAGAGGCCGAGCTTCAGCGCTCGAAAATAAAAGCAGCATCAGTACACAGCAGGCACAAAATCTCCAGAGCATTCTTCTCTAAATTAAGGGTTTCATAAAAATGATAGGCTTGTAAAGACCATCTGAGAGGGCATATATATAGAGACCATCAAAAGTGTTGGTTTCTGTTATGATATTATTCAAAGTGGGTGGAAAATGGGATCTCACGAAGCCCCATTGTAATGCTTGTTTTGTTGTGTTTTGTAGTTGAGTTGTACCTTGTGACCCCTTTAGCACTAATCGGAAATAACAAATGCCGACCAACTCTTTGTACTCAAACAATAAGCTAGGGACATTTAAACTCAATAAAATTCCATCTCTTACAGCCTCTCAAGCTGTTTGTTTAAGTGATCATTTGCCTTGGGTGCTCTATAACGATAAGGATGATGTTAGAAATACCATCTTTTTATACCATATTTTCAAGACCGCATGATATGATGGTTGGTGGTTGGATTCCTTCCTTAAATCATTAAAAATGGAATTCAACTATCAACCGTCACATCAAGTGGTTTATAAAATATGGTCTAAGAAGATGGTTTACTGAGCATTTTCCTAATGATAACATTGATTTCGGTTGATGGTTCGATTCCTCATTTAAATCATTAAAAATAGAATCTGACCATCAACCAGCACATCATATGATTTATAAAATATGATCTAAGAAGATGGTCTACTGAGCATTTTACTGATGATAACATTGATAAAGGTTTCAAGGCACCTTTTGAAATAAAAAAGGAATAGGTTAATTGATTTGGCCGGCCTTAGTCGGTTAAAAATTAAGACAAGTGAAGCCGCCCGGATTCCATGTCCATATATTCTCATAGTAACTTTTCAATGAACGAAGGAATAGACCAAGGTCCGTTATATTCTCATATATTCTCATATATTCTCGGAGCTTAAACGATCCATGGTTTGGGAATTGTGATATATTGAAAAAAAATATAATGAAAATGGTTTTAAAACTTTGAATTTTAATCAAAGGACAAAAATGCGTTGTAAGTGAATAGTACCAGGAGTGACTTTTAAAAGTAAAAATGTCATTTTTCGTTAAAATGAACGGTACCTAGAGTATTTCGTTAAAACTCTCATTATTTTTTAATAATAGGTGGATAATTACTGCGGGCATCCTGGATAAGTCGGGTAGGTGATTTTAGTTATTGCATGAATTTTAAATTATGTAGTGGGTGTTTTTGGCATATAGAGGTGCCTTCAAATAAATTGGAGAGTGGCAATTAAGCCTTTTAGACGAAAAGAAGAATTTTTGGGTACTTAAGAATTAGAAAGAATTCCTCCTGCTGCGTAGCCAATTTACATAATCATGGGTTGATCTCCGTCTATCTATTTCCTACAGTTGATTATCTAAACGATATTAGTTTTAATTTATTTATTTTACCATGCAGTTATATTGATTCCAATCATAAGCATTGAGTTCCTTAAACCTGTCACGGAGTATTTGGAGGATGAACTCCTCGTCCTTTGAATAGCCAAGTTAATTAGACTAGAAAGAACCGCGTTTGCATTAAGAATGGGGATGCAAATTACATGCATCCCCAAGTGTTCTGGGTTTTGTACTTGGAACCAGAGGGGAGCGAAGCATACAAAACAAAGTGATCTTTCATGTCTATATCATTCAGATGCCAATGGTAATTCACAAGTAACATGGAAGAATCTAACCAGAGCACCCGATTGCGTCCTAACAAGAACAGAGTAACTGTATTTAGGAAGAACAATATGAAAAGAGCGACGCCAAACTAGATTACAAACGAGGTTTTTGGCTAATCATTTACATCACAATCGTCGTTATTTTTTCACTCCCTATGTATAACTACAAGAGAGAACATTGATATAGCTCATGCTAGCTTGTGAAGTTGCAAACTCAAGGCCTGATGCATCGCATTTGAGTTTCAGATGGTCCTTCGAGTAGCAGGTTCTCACTGTCGGAACCAAAGCAGGAAAGAGAAAGCGTGTCGCGCTCCTGATATTCAAACAACATAGTAAATCATCATTATCAGTATAACCATAGTCAATTATGAATGCTTTTATAACAAGCCAACCTGTCATTGCCTGTAAGAATGCTTTCAAATAACAACCGTCGGCGATCTCAAACATGTTTGAAGCTCCTTCGACATCAGTTTTGCGGCAAATTTCTGAACTTTATGAATGTAAGTAATTATGAAGGAAAATGCAACTTTATCTCGATGATCAAAACGGAAGATAGAAAAACAGGAAATTAACATCTAAAACAGCCTGAAGGATATCTTTGCTTCGTAGATGGGATGGTTGAGCATCAGTAGATTATTGTTGTTCACAACAGCTCTAACTAGCAGTTCCTTGGCTTCCTCGTGTTTCTTCCTCAGCATGTTGCATATCTGCAAGAAAGAGAGAGAGAGGGGGGGGGGGGGGGGGGAGAGAGAGAGAGAGAGAGAGAGATCATTATAACCCGTGATATATAATTTATAATTATATGCTGCATAAATGACCGATGCATAATCAATCGCAATGACACTGCCTTGCAGTCCTAATTTTCTCTATAATTTAACTGAATTCATAGCTTAGGTGTTTGAATTCTTTAATTATAATGCACACAGAATGTCACCGTAAAACAAGTGATAATTTACTCACATCTTCAAGCTCCTTAGCATACGCTTCAGCCTTTTCAACATTTCCATCATTTTCCATTGCTGAAGGAATATCAAGTTCCATCACATTGATTGCACAAGGACTACCAAGTCCAGAGGTCGGATGGTCATCTAAGGTGCTGTTAGTCTTGCTCTCCAAATGACTCTCATGAATGCGAACCTAGATCAAACGTACAGAATATTTGAGCAGATAGTTTATCTGGTAAAGGTTTCCACCTATTTTACTTTATAGATACACTTAACAGTCTTTATAAATCATTGATTTTATGGAGTCAGTTGAGATGAAACCTGTTCTGCAACAACTTCTTTTGAAGGTAATTTGAAATTTCTGCAGGTATTTTTGGAAAAAAGAGTGTGATATGTCAGCAGATTACCAATAAACCACTTTAGAATAATACGTAAATAGTAATAGTGTTTTATGCAGCTATTTGCGAAGAAAAATTAGATAGGCTGGAAAAAGATGAATAATATGTTAAATGCGTATATACTAGTAAAAGAGGACCTGGATTCTCTAGGTGACTGAGAAAGGCGCTTTAAAGGCTTTAAGAATGCTAAACCTGAATCTGATCCCTGCAAAATAGCTTCGTGTAAGAAATTGGAAAAGTGCAATAAAATCTTCACTAATCATTTGGATAGAATAGAACAGAGCTTCAAATAAGAATGTTATAGTCATGATATCATTCCAAAGAGAACAACAGGAGTTAAAGGAATGGATTTATAATGGAAGACCTCAAATGTTTTTCGCTTCAAGGAAAAGTTTGGTGACATTTGTTTCTCAACAATCTGGGCAGTCTTTGATTCCACATTTCGTTGCACTTCCATGTTTTGCTCTGGACTACTCAGGGATTTCAATTCTTTATGCGGTGTAGCATTCAATGAAACTTTACTGCCACCAATATTCCTACATTTAGAAACATCAAAATATTCAAAATCACAATTAAAACATTTCTGCACAGAAAAGAACTGAAGAATAGGAGTAATTACACTCGCACCATACTTTGAAATGTTCAAGGTAGAAAGGTCGGTTTTTTTCTTGGAAGGTTTATCAGGAAAAAGTTTACTCCCTTCAGCTGTAATGATCTTTGTGTTCCTCATAGACTCCAGGCTGAGAGCATGAATTTAGGATTTACACATGTCTGAGTACTAGGTTTAATAGTCTTCTCGATTGTGCTGGAAGGATTTGCTTGACAGCTAGAAATCTCCACATGCCTAGAATACACATATTGACAATCAGAAATTTCACTACAAGGTTTTGAGGACCAATAATAATGTTGCTGAACAATGTACGAAGTAAGTTGTCATGTGCCTGAGAAATAAGCAGTCACATCTTTGGATGGGAACATCTGTGGAAAGCCACATTCTGAATGATAAGATATGCAAAGTAAAGTACAAGATGGAACAAGGTCTTTTATAAATGCTTTACCTGAGATCATGAAGACTTTTTCTCAATCCACTTCCAAGGACAGTTTCTCTTTCTGTTATTTCTTTGTCAGATGGCCGTGGATTCGCAACCAGTTTGGCCCTGTTTGGTACAGCATCAGAATTGAGGCCCTCCCTGTTGATAATTACAAAGGAAGGGACACTGCAATTTAGCATCATCAATAGCTTTGTAATTTCTATGAACTAAAATGATGTCATCCTTTTTTTTGAGTGATTCATTGTAATACGATGTCAGTGTTAAAACTTTATATATCTATTTATTTAAAACAAAAGGATTACTGGAATGTTGTGCCTAGAGTCATCAGCTGATATTACTTTTAAATTTTAACATTACCTTCCAGATATTACATGTTTGGCTTTCATTTCTTTATCAACTAACACAGGAGTATCAGGCAAATTGCTTCCAATTTGTGCACCATGAACATTAGTAGCCACCCTGTTGAAGATTATACAAAACAGTTTATAACTTAAATGCCTACTATTCAATTGTTATGGGAAAGTTCACCGTATCACTCACCCTTCAATTGCTGGACGTAGACGCATGGTATCAATCCTTTTGATTCCAGATGAGAGAGGTTTTGCTCCTATTAATGATGGCTGACACATTTGAGATCCAGGTTCTTCAAATCTCTTAGAAACCTTTGAGTGGAATTCTCCACTTTTGGTTTCATTTGTCAGCGTAGCTTTATCAACTGCAGATTCACTGCATCAAAAGAGGGAAAATGTAAATGACGCATTGATACTAAAGCTCAAATGTTTGCTCCCTATCAGAGGTATCTACACAGTTCAAGAGCATACCTGTTATACATAAAGATTAGAGTCTGTTCATTATAAGCATTTTTTTTTCCGATTACATTATCATAAGCATTTGCATGTACTCAACTAAAAAATTAAATGGTTCTATGCATTTCTCATAGTTTCAGTAATAGATGTACTTGATTTCTGATTATTGTTGGTTTTTGTATTCAAAACCATTTTGACTCGTGACAGTTTCTACTTCTTATAGTTCAAAACATATGTCAGTGACTTGAAGGATGGAATCAATGAAACAAAGGTGGCAGCTATCAATATGCTCAAAGATTTTCTGACCTGCTCTCTGCAGACAAAGGAAGCTTTGAAGTCGAATTTTGGTCATCCTTGATACATTTGATGTTATGTAGTGTCTTCCTTGAGATGAATGTATTGGAATTGTCTCCGAGATCTAAGTTATCTATAGCTGATTCAGCGTTCTCAGTCGAGATATCACTGCCTAACTTTGGTTCAGCGTTTTGTGTAGATATGTCACTGCCAGACTTACAACCATCACCATTATTGCTATCTGTATTAGCGATGTTTACTGAAGATGAATCCTTCAAAGGCAAGTCTTCACTATTAGGACCATCTCCTGCTGACATTTTCTCATCAACATCTTCTTTTCCACTTGAAATGGTATTCAAATCTGTGATCTGAAGACAACCATCATTCTTTCCTTCAAAAACGGTACCTCCATTTGAATCAACTCCCCCTACAAGTTGACCAGACAGGTCATCTGTTGCTGGCTTAGCATATGGTTCTGTGGCCATGTCCTTCTCAGATAAATGAACTTGCTGATCTGATTCTTCAATACCATTAGTCATTACTTTTCCTGGAGACCTTGGACCATGTGGAAGTTTCAGATTTTCTGATCTACGTTTTGATGGGCAATCATCACTGATAGAATTAACCTTGCCTGAAACAACTAATGAAGTATCAACCTTTAAAGGGGCCACTCTCTCAGAACCACCATCAAGTGTACTAATCTCTTCAGCTAGATCGATTTTAGAGCCCTGAGGTCCTCTTCTATCAGAAAGAAACTCTTTTCTGCTATCTTGATTCTTATTTGAACTTTTTTCACTTTTCGTTAAGCTTGAATCAAGATCGAAATCACCCAACCCACTTCCAAAAAAGAAAGTGTCAGGTTCAACCGTTCAAGTACATTTACATTCCTTATGTAATTCAAATAACGAAACAACAAGATAATGCAGAGCTTACTCATTGAAATCAAAAGAGAATTTAAAGGGGTCTTGTTTCCCTTGATGGTTTCCTTTGGAATGTTCTTCTTCAGATTTCTCCTTGGTTTTTGCAGCTTTTCTGGGCGGGCTTGAGAAATCAAGGTCTGGCATGTCCATTTTGAAAGACGATATCTTGCCAAAGTCACCATCCAGATTGAAATCCATATCCCTGAACAAAAAAGAGGAAAAGGAACTTTATAAGAGTTGTCTGGGATTTCTAGACTCACACTAGCATACATTTATTGGAGCTATATCTGTATAACTGGAATAAGACTACTTGAATCCCCAATTCTATCCTCCTTTTCAAAACAATTTGCCACATATTACCCTGAGTACCAGATACACCAACAAAACTCATAAAGGTAGATAATTTACCCATGATAGCACACAAAAGTGTCACATAACTGTCATGCAAACCTTTAAGCTCTAAATAGAAGGAACCTATTAAATGTTTAGCAAGAAAAACACTTCGCAGTACTTACAGCTTCTCAAAGTCAAACACCTTCTTCTTGCCTTTGGAGCCTTTGGAAACTGTATCAAAGCCAAAATCCATTCCGTCATCTTCCATTACTGATATTGATTTCCAGGAGGTGAGAAATTCGTCTCCGATTTCCTCATCTGTTATAAGAGGAACATAGGATCTGATTACATTGTTCACGTCAAATGAAAAATTCAGACTATTAACTCTCACTCGGACATTCTTCTTGTATACGATGACTTACACAGCAAAGATAAAGGTTAAGGGTAACCAAGAGAATACCTAGAAATGAACTTTTTCCTTTTTGATTAACCGAGGAAGATTTTGCCTTCTCTGATTCTGCCATAGTCTCAGACTTGTAGACTTTATTGTAAACCTCTGCAAACATTCATTAACTTTCACCGCGTATTCCAAAACAGAAAAAGGATTCCAGTCCTTGTCCACATTAAGTATTTTCCATCCTACCAAACCGACATTCTTACAACAAAAATTTAATTTAAAGAGGACTGAGAAAATTATGAACTTCATTTTACAAAAACTTGTAATGATCAGTATATCACAGAGCAAAGCTAAACATGATACACACAGAATTAAATCCATAGTGTAAAATAAACTGTTAACTGCTGTGCACTTTTTTAGGAAAATTCAGTGAGTAAGCAGAAAAAAATTAATCAATTGACAATTAAGGACTAAAATCAAAACGATAACTAAAGGAACTAGCCAAAACATAACTCTCGCCTAAATTTGAATAAAAAACGGTTAGTAATAGGAACAATAGCATATTAGAAAACATGAAATTAGAGATTAACGATCAACATGACTCCGCAGAGAGAGAGATTTGAAAACTCTACAAATCGAACAGTAATCTACAAGATGAACATATGGAATTCAAATTTGAGCGATTCTACGATCTACCAGAAAATCAACATTAGGCTCAAACAAGAAATCGATTACATTCTACTTGCATGCAATTTTCCGAGAAATAAGCAAAATTTCCTGGAAAATACACGGAATCGATCAAGAAATGCACGAAACGAACATAATGGAGTTCAAAATTCAAGCGATTCTACAAGCTACCAGAAGCTCAACATTAGGCTCAGCAAACAAAGAAATCGATTACATTCTACTTGCATGCAATTTTCCGAGAAAATAAGCAAAATTTCCTGGAAAATACACAGAATCGATCAAGAAATGCACGAAACGAAGGTCCACAGTTCAAAATTCAAGCGGATTTACTCGGTCCAGAAAGTTTTGCACCGCTCGCGAATCCGAAAAGCCATGTAAAACGAAACAATTAGGGATTGAGAAACTCACCGATTTCAGAGTCGAAAGATGAGGGAGAAACTGTGGAGGTGCGAGTCGTGAGAGAGCTGCTTGGCAAAATGATCCGAACAACCAAATGTGCGAGTATTTATACTTCTCCAAATTTGAAGAGGCGGGGGAGTATACCTGTGACGTATTAGCGCGCTATTTTTTTTTTTTGGAACAAACATAGTAGTGGGGAGTGTGCTAAGCTTTATAATAGACTTGTCATAATAATGTGGTTTAATTTTGCTCTTTAACCCGCTGCTTTGGTGCGCAAATACAAATCAATTAGGCACCAAGGGAAAAAGATCATCTCCAGATCCTTTCCTCATAATCCACCAAATTAGGGGATCTGTGCCATTGGAATTTGATTCAATGATTGAAGTTATTATAAATTTTAAAGTGGGTCCTTGTTTGTAGCCATTGGATCAAATTTCAACAGCACGAATCTTCTGATTTGGAAGATTAGGAGGAAGAAATTCAGAGCTATCCAACATTGGTTTGGGCCCGCTAAATTTGCCACATGGATTTCGGCCCAATTAAAAAGGCCCACAGTAATGAGTGGTTGGAATTTTATTTTTAATTTTTTTGGAAAATTCGGGTGGTAGAAACTTGAAAGTGTCGCACTCGGCAGAAATGGCATGCAACAATGCCCCTCAAATAAAGTTGACGCTGCGGCATGCTCCACGTCGCTCCTTCAAACACCATCCTCTCGACCAACCACATGGCCTTTTTCTTATTGAATATTTGTAGGTATTTATTACAATTATTATCTATTAGTTGATAAAATGTGCGTGAATATGTAAATTTAAAATAATTATCATTTTATCGCAGAAATAATAATTATAATAAAATACATGTAAGTATAAAAAATATCTTGAATGCGCATGAAATTTTGTATTTAGTTATTCGTTTCCAAATATCGCTATACAAAAATGAAAAGAATTGTTCCAAACAATACATTTTCTTTTTTGTAGTGTTGGAATTAAGAAATGTAGATTAATTAGTGACGTGAGAGTAATAACTATTCTATATAAATCCCCACACCATAAAATGTTGAACAAGAACCCCAAACCACCACCTACCAAGTAGAAGCAACCAAAAATGCAAATCCAAATCATCGAAACCAATGTCATCGTTCCATCTCCGCCACCATTTACCGACGATCACTTCCTCCAACTAACCCACCTCGACAACGACCCCAACCTCCGCGTCACCTTCCGCTACGTCCGCGCCTACCACAACACCAACTCCGCCCCCTCCCCCGCCAACCCCTCCCACGTCATCTCCGCTGCCATCTCCGCCGCTCTGTTCCACTACTACCCTCTCGCCGCCACTATCCACCCCCGCCCCGACCGCCGCTTCGAGCTCTTTTGCTCCAACGGCCAAGGCGTCCCCCTCATAATCGCCTCCGCCGACTCCACTCTCGATTCGGTCGGATACCTCGATGACCCAGCTGCGGATTTCGTCGAACACTTGGCGCCCGACCCCAACCCGGAAGAGGCAATGTCCACCCCGTGTATGCTGCAACTCACGGTGTTTAACTGCGGCGGGTTCACTCTCGGAGCCGCCATACACCACTCGCTGTGCGACGGAATGGGCGCCACACAATTTTTCAATGGCGCGGCCGAGTTCGCTCGCGGGGCGACTCGGGCGTCGGTTGAGCCGGTGTGGGACCGGGCGGGGTTGCTGGGACCCAGACATCCTCCCCGAATCGGCGCACCGGTGCTGCACGAGTGTCTGAGTTTGGACAAGGGGTTCCCGCCATACGGACAGGCGGAGGCGGTGGGGCCGGTTGTTAGGGAGTGCTTTCATGTGAGAGACGAGTGGTTGGAGAAATTCAAGGGGGAGCTGTTGGAGCAGGGTGGGTTGAACTTCACCACTTTCGAAGCTCTCGGTGCTTTTATATGGCGTGCCAAGTAAGTTAAAGTTGCTTTAATTCGTCATACCAAATTAAGAAGTTTTTCAGTATTCCAGTAACACAACCTGGTACATCGAGAAATTTTTCATAAATTTGAACTTTGACCTTCAAAGCGCCTTAATTTGAGATTGTTGCATTTGATGTCGGAACTTCAAGGCGTCTTAATTTGGTAGTGTACGGTTCAGTTTTAAGACGCTTTGAAATTCCGAGACAGAATTGCCGCAATCTCAAAGTTATAACAAAAATTAATATTTTGGGTGATGGATGGCATGAAACAGGATTAAAGCCATAGGGCTTCCAAGTGACGAGAAGGTAACATTTGCATACTCAATCAACGTACGAAGACTAGTGAACCCTGCATTACCAGCTAGCTATTGGGGCAACGGCTGCGTACCAATGTACGTGAACCTCACCGCCAAAGAACTAACCTCGAAGCCGCTTTCGTCCGTGGCGGATCTGATCAAGAAGAGCAAAAGCAACGCCACGGACGAGTACGTCCGTTCGTTCATCGACTTCCAGGAGCTGCATTACGAGGACGGGATCACGGCGGGGAAAGAAGTTAGCGGGTTCACTGACTGGAGGCACTTGCGCCACTCAAGTGTGGATTTTGGGTGGGGAGGTCCTGTGACTGTGTTGCCACTTTCAAGGAACTTGCTAGGGAGCGTTGAGCCTTGTTTTTTCTTGCCTCCGTCGTCGTCCTCGGCGGGTGTGGGGAAGAAGGATGGGTTCAAGGTTTTGGTGACCATGAGGGAGAGTGCTGTGCCGGCTTTTAGAGAGGAGATGGAGAAGTTTGGCTGCCTAGAGTTTGGGTTGCCTTGATGTTTTGCAAGAATACTTTCACTGTGATATGTGCATTATTTTTTTGTTATAACATTTCATCATCAATGTAATAATTATGGATCAACCATTCCATCCTCTGATTAGGTTTTTATGTGATGAAAATACAACCAAAAGAGGTGACAAAACACAGTGAAAATAATGCTAAACCGCATTAGGATTTTATTTGGACCTCTGTTATTTGACTGTTTGACCTCCTGTGGACGGTTTGTTTAAGAATTGAAATCGATCGATGTTTGTTTTCTTTATGTACTATTTATAATTGCTGCAGGGAAGAACTTTTAATCATACTTTATCTGTATACGTGACATATTTTTTCTGCATGTTGATTTTTTTTATAATTACATACGGTGTAATATGTCCGTTTGAATTTTTATTTTAGAATGTTCTCTACCTTGTGACAAAAAAAATAAAAACACTGAAAATACAAAGTAGTTCACTCTAAGTGACAAATTACAACTAATTACAATTCATGTTACTTTTTTTCTTTTGTTTGGTATACGACAACACAGGGAGCGAGTAAACATGGAAAATACGACAGAAAATCTATCCACTTATCCTCAGCCTCACAAACCAATAGAAAGCCAGAAACCATGCCGAGGTCCCAAGCCCAAGAATTACACTCACGCTCGAACACAGAACAGAATAGCAGTCCCACTCCCTATACACTTCTTCCATGGCGTCCGTACTTGGAAGTTGCTCGACGGCGGCAACTTTGGCCTCCCGACCTCTATCCTCTCGCACTTACAGGACTTCAATTGCCTCTCTCTCTCTAACCCCAGGTAAACATTTCCGACCAAACAAAGGAAAACCCTTTTTTTTTTTTTTTTTTTCAGCATTTGAACCATGATTTGGGATTGTTTTCTGCAATTTGATTGAATACATGAAATACCTAGTTCGTAATCTGGATTTTTTTGGTGTTTTTATGGGAGATTTGAAGTGGGTTTTTGCTGGATAATGGTAGTGGATTGTTGTTAATTTGAATGGAATTGTGTTTTGCATTGCAGGGAAGAGTTTTGGGAGGAAGTTTTATGGAGGGATTGGGATTCATGGAAAGAAGAGGTCTCAATTCCATGTGACCAATGTTGCCACTGAAATCAGCCCTTCTGAGCAGGTCTGAATTTTCTTCATCCAATTGCAGTATTTGACAACAAAATTTTGATTGGTTTTGATTGAAAAGTTTGATTACTAATAGATGAAGTTTATATTTTAAATTGTTGGTTCAGTTTCTATAATGTTGGAGAAAGAAATATTTTGTGCATTCTAGATGTTTGTTGAACCGAAAATTTCGAGAAATGGTTGAAGTTTTTTCATTGGGAATTATACATGTTATGTAAAATTCTAGGTTGTTGAGTTTATGTGTGATTAATTATGGTCTGCCAAATTGTATTCAGGCAAAGAGGGTTGCTGCTAAGGAAAACCAGAGGCCGGTATATCCATTCGCTGCTATTGTTGGACAAGATGAGATGAAACTGTGCCTTCTGCTGAATGTGATTGATCCCAAGATTGGGGGTGTCATGATCATGGGGGATAGAGGAACTGGAAAGTCCACAACTGTTAGGTCCTTGGTTGATTTGCTTCCCGAAATTAAGGTAGTTTCTGGCGACCCTTACAACTCAGATCCAGAAGATCCAGAGTCCATGGGAGCGGAAGTTAGAGAGAGCATTGTGAAAGGGGAGCAACTTCCTGTTATCAAGACTAAGATCAACATGGTTGATTTGCCCCTGGGTGCTACGGAAGATAGAGTCTGTGGAACAATTGATATTGAGAAAGCTCTAACCGAGGGTGTCAAGGCATTTGAGCCTGGCCTTCTAGCAAAAGCTAACAGAGGAATTCTTTATGTGGACGAAGTTAATCTTTTGGATGATCATTTAGTTGATGTCCTATTGGATTCTGCTGCCTCTGGATGGAACACAGTGGAGAGAGAGGGTATCTCAATTTCACATCCTGCTCGGTTTATTTTGATTGGCTCGGGCAATCCAGAAGAAGGGGAGCTCAGGCCACAGTTGCTTGACCGTTTTGGGATGCACGCACAGGTTGGAACTGTGAGGGATGCAGAGCTCAGAGTGAAGATTGTGGAGGAGAGAGCTCGATTTGACAAAAATCCCAAAGAATTTCGGGTTTCTTACGAAGCTGAGCAAGAAAAGCTTCAGGAACAAATTGGCGCAGCTAGAAGTTATCTTCCATCTGTTCAGATTGATCAGGACCTCAAGGTGAAAATCTCCAAGGTTTGCGCAGAGTTGAATGTTGATGGATTGAGAGGAGACATAGTGACAAACAGGGCTGCAAAAGCCTTGGCTGCTCTTAAGGGAAGGGATAAGGTGACTCCAGAGGATATTGCTACTGTCATCCCTAACTGCTTAAGACATCGTCTTCGGAAGGATCCTTTAGAGTCGATTGACTCTGGTTTACTTGTCATTGAGAAGTTCTATGAGGTTTTTAGCTGAAGGAGATACTGAAAGAGCCCTTTCTTTTGTAATTTTAGTTGGTAAGATTGTTTTTGTTTAACATTTTTTCTGGGTTTTAACCATCCTGCTTATATACCAGCACATTTAGGTTTCACCATTGATATGTTCCGACTACTGTGTTATTTCAAAACTTTATGGTCTATATTTTCGAGAAGCACGTATATGATACAATTTCTTTCCTATGGTTTCTCCTAATGTATTTACCGTTGCACATTGACCTTTCGGTTCATAACTGGATCATTAGAGTTGGCCTTGTACCTTGTATAAGGCGAATCTTCCTGTAGCGGGATGCCACTGTACCATCAAACGAATCACATAGTGTCATGTGTTTTAATTCTTCCACATGACATAGCGTGATTGGTATGACATACCACTACATTGGTATCCCGTTGTAAGTTGCTCTCCCGTATAGGGCGTAAGATTATTGCTTTGTCAATGTAATATCTGAGAAAGTAGTAGTTAAAGATTAACAGCCACATTGAAGGTTTCTGGGATTCAACTTGAAAATGCAGATTACAAAAACATGTAACATCACATGAGTAACAATAAAATGACATTAAAACCTAGGGCATGGTGGTGCTCCCTGGCCACTCGTCCAGAACTTTGGCCTCCGCTCGAGAAACGCTGGCGGCCGCTCATACACTGCTGAAGCAGCGCTTATCAGAAGGGCAGCAGTTAGGGCCCATATGACATACTCTTTACCATCATCTGCTTCAAAGTCGAAGTAATGTAAGAGATACTTGTCTCCCATCCATTCTCTCTCCTCCTCTCTCCTCTTCTCATCCTTGAGAAACATTTCTAAAGGAGCATCAAAAATTGCCTCCACTTCTGCAGCATTTGGAGCCGGACTAAATGCTTTTATGTCAGAAAGTAGGCCAATTACCGGAACCACAGTCACACCATGCTGTAAGATTGAGGAGGAGTCAGAATCTGAAAGCCATATAACGGAGGAGTAATCCGTAATCAGAATCAAACGCTTGATTCCGATTACGGATACCTAAACATGTCCGAAAAGAGTTTTTGTTTCCACTTAAAAAATGCTTGCCCCACCCACCTACCCTTCACAATCACCATGAAAATTTGAAAATCTTAACTTCAGAGGAACATATTAGTGATGGAATTTGAATGAAATTATTTTGTGGGTTGTGATTTTTCTGGTGAAGAAAGAGTTTTGGGATGAATTATCCATTAAAAACGTTTAACTAAAAAATAAATTAGATTATATATACAAGAGTGCAGCTGAGCTAACCTTGTTTACAATGTGGTCGAGAACGGTGACGACGTTGACTAGGGAAGGGTCCAGGCCGATCTCCTCCTTGGCCTCCCGGAGGGCGGTGTCTACGTCATCAGCATCCGCTTCGTCTCTTTTCCCACCGGGGAGCGCAACGTCGCCTGCAACCAAACACACCCTCTTTCAGTTATTCTTTACAAATGGATTATGGAGGAACTGGTTCTGGTACCAGTAATGTGAAACGATTTGTTGAGGAGGCTGAGGGCGATCACCAGGGCTGGAAGACAGAGATGAAGATCGTTTCGTGAGAATGACGCGCAGCTCGCCGTCATCCCCTTTGAACAGACACACCAGAACCGCCGCCCGTTTGGTTGTTGAATCGGAGGAGGCGGAACCGGTAGGTGGTGGAGGTGGTTTGACTGATTCTTCGGGTCTGAAATGTTGTGCTAGAGTTTGAAGTCTTAGTTCAGCAGAACCCATTATTTTTTTTCGCTCTCCTTTTGAAAAATAAAAATTGTGGGCTATATATAGCGGGGATGGGGATTCTTTCCATATTTTTGTGTAGATTTTAGGAATTCTCACGGCAAGACCGTTTATCGTATATTGCGCAATCAGTTTTTGTTATGTATTATTTATGTTTAATTTTAAATTTTAAATTTTAAAATAATTTCTGATCATATGATATACGATAGACGGTCACAATCATTGGACCCCTAGAATCTCCAGGAAAAGGATCTGGCGATGATCCTTTTCCAATTTTAGGACCTAAAATTTATTAATTATTGTGGAATGATTTTAACTCTAGTTTTTTTAATAAGGATTTTTTTTTTATATCTTTGAGCTATTTTCTCTTAATTTAATTTTAAGAATGCTTTAATTTAAAAAAAAAATTAAATCCCAAATTTTTTTTTAACAAATCACACACACCAACCAACCAATCAAACTTCAATATACACACCGACCAAACTTCAATAGACACACCAACCAAATATATATATTTATTATTTTGATCGTTAGATTTAAATTGCAGCTGTTGAATTTTTTTGACAGTTGGATTGAAAAAAACAAATATAAACCATTAGATCAAAATCAAAAGATTGCCAAAAAAAATCAGATTTTAATATGGACCGTTGATCACCAACGGTCCAAAATCGAACAGCTCACAATTGTTCAAATATTGCAGTTAGACAGCTGGGGTCCTCTGCCACTTGGTGCCCAGCTGTCAGCCACTTCTTATATCTTCCGCCCGTTTGTCTTTTTTTTTTGGGAACTTTAACGAAAAGCACCCGGTACTGTTCACTTTAACGAAAAACCACATTTTTACACTAAAAAGTCAATCATGGTACTATTCACTTTACCCTTTATTTTGTCCTTATCATTAAAACTCAAAGTTTTCAAGCTATTTTCATTAGTTTTTTTTTTTTTAAAGTGGGGCCCCCAAAATTTTGGGTGCTAATAGAAACCCAAATTTGGGTTTTAGTTTGGGTCCAAAGCCAAATATTTTGCGTTTAGATCATCTCCAACCGACCTAGCCAAATGGTTATAGGGTTAAAAATAATTCGTTTTGACATAAAATCGTCTCCAACCGAATGTTAGGCCAAAGGGCTCGTGGTTCCCATCCGACCAAAAATGGGAGAACCAGCCAAAGGGCTGGCCAAGAGCAGCCAACCCACTAGCCCTTTAGCCCAGCCCTCCAGCGCCAAAATGTCACCTCCAGCTCAACCCATTTGAATGCCAACGGCTACCTGACGTCACGTCATGCTGTTGTTAGGTTACCATTGGAATTTGATTTTTTTTTTTTTGACGAATTTTAGAAAAAAAAAATTCAAAATTTTTTTCCTATAAATACCTACACCATTCATACACCATTTCTCACATACTTTTCACTATTCCATACTATCTTATCTCATTTTATTTCAATTCTTCACATTTTATTGTCTTATCTCCTCCAATAATCTTTCCCTTAATTTTTTTCAATAGTTTTCAAATGGTCACATTTGTAATGAAATGACGGGCTTGGACCTGAAAAGAAGATGAAGCTCTTTGCAAGGCTTATAAATGGGTCTCAGAAGATAGTGTCAAGGGTAGTTCTCAAACAAGTGAAGGTGTTTAGAGGTGTGTGACTTCTACCCCAATATCTAGCCAATTTATTAACATTGGAAGTTGAAGATAAGAAGTGCCACATATAAGAATCCTATCTAAAATTTGCACAACCAATTATATATTGACACGCGGCACTCGAAATCCTATCTGAAAAATTATTAAGATTACATAAAGATCATAAATCTAGAGAGTTGCTCACCTTAGCGACACGTGTCAATTGAAATTTTATCTGAAAAATTATTGAGATTACATAAAGATACTAAATCTGGAGAATTACTCACATTAGCGACACGTGTCACTCGAAATCTTATCCAAAAAATTATTGAGATTATATAAAGATAAGAAATCTGGAGGCTTATTCATTTGGCGACAAGTTACACTCAAAATATGTCTGAAAACCTTATTTTAATATGGTAATTTAAGTAACCATATTAATTCAATTAAAATAATAAATTATGTTTGGCCTATGACTCTTTAGCCCTGTCGGTTGGAGATGATTTTTTGTCAAAGGGTTATATTTGGCTTATAACACTTTGGCCCCCTCAATTGGAGGTGGTATAAAATATGGACTTGTGTTGTTCATTAAAATATAATTTCTTGCAGGGCTATAGGGCTAAAGAAAGTTTTTTGGCTTTTCTTTGGTTGGAGATGGTCTTAGGTCTCACCATTCGATTGCATTTTTGGGTTTAGGTCTGCCCCTTCGACATTGACCTTTGGGTTCATAAATTGGATCATTATAGTTGGTTTTGTACCTTGTATAAGGTGAATCTTTCTATAGCGGGATGCTACTGTACCATCAAACAAATCACATAGTGCCATGTGTTTTAATTCTTTCACATGACATTGCGTGATTGGCATGACACACCACCACAATGGTATCCCCGTTGTAAGTAAGTTTCTCTCCCATATAAAAAGTAAGATTGTTGCTTTGTCAATGTAATATCTGAGAAAGTAGTAGTTAAAGATAAACAGCCACATTGAAGGTTTCTGGGATTCAACTCGAAAATGCAGATTGCAAAAACATGTAATATCACATGAGTATAAAATGACATTAAAACCTATGGCATGGTGGTGCTCGCACCACCACTCACCCAGAACTTAGGCCTTTGCTCGAGAAACGCCGGCGGCCGCTCATACACAGTTGAAGCAGCCTTTATGAGAACGCCAGCAGTTAGAGCCCATATGACATACTCTTTACCATCATCCGCTTCAAAGTCGAAGTAATGTAAGAGATACTTGTCTCCCATCCATTCTCTCTCCTCTTCTCTCCTTTTCTCATCCTTGAGAAACATTTCTAAAGGAGCATCGAAAATTGCCTCCACTTCTGCAGCATTTGGAGCCGGACTAAATGCTTTTATGTCAGAAAGTAGGCCAATTACCGGAACCACTGTCATACCGCGCTGTAAGATTGATGAGGAATCAAAATCAGAATACCATATAACGGAGGAGTAATTCGTAATCAGAATCAAACTCCTTACGTTGATTCCAACAATGGATACCTAAACATGTTCGAAAAGAGTTTTCTGAAAATAAGAGTTTCCCCCTTAAAAAACTTATTTTCTCTCACTTAAAACCCATCCTCTTTATTTTTTCAAAAACCCCATTTACTAGAGTCCAACTAAGCAAATTTCCTTAACAAGCTTGGTATGTTAGTTTTTATAATTCTCGTGTTCCTAAAATACCCTCATAGAGTGTAACGTAGGTTAAGTTTGACGTATGATTAATAATAAATTTTGCATTTTATTGTTTTCAATGCAATTAAATGTCAATTAACCTATTGTTTGATTAGGCAAATAATTTACCTAACTATATGTCAATTAACCTTGTTTACAAAATAATTTTGCATTTGACAGTTTTATGTTGAAACATAGGCAAATAATTTGTGTCAAAAAAAAATTATACAAAATAATGGTTGTATTTTTTTTTTCTTTTCATAGAATATAATTTACCTATCTATATGTTAGTATCCACTTAGATTAGAAATACTGTAAAAATAATTTACCTACCCCATAGGCGTGATATTGTAAAGAAAAAATGTATATGATTACTTTGGATATTATAATTAATTATATGACAATATTATTTGTATAGGTAAATTAATAAGTAGATTGGTGAATTAGTATGTACTACAAAAATGCAGATAAATTAGCTTGTAACAAAAGAATGTAGGTAAGTTAGTGAATTTTTAAAATATAGGTAAATAGTTTGTATCAAAAGAATGTAGGTAAATTAGTGAATTTTTAAAATATAGGTAAATAGTTTGTAATATGTGGTTTTAAACAGAAGATCATTGATCATTGCTCATTGCCAGTATAATTGAAGGTGAGTCATGATAATATCCATTGCCGTATTTAGGTCATTGTGGAATAAGTTGTAAATATTTTTTTAAGGGTAGGTTATTTATTTGCTAACATAGTAGACTATTTGAATTTTGGGTTTTATTTGAACGTTTAATATGAGGTGTATTTTTGTCTACACGATAATAGTTAAACATCCCAGTTTTTTTTTTTTTTTTTTTTTTTTTTTTTTTTTTTTCAGTCAAAAAATGCTTGCCCCACCCACCTACCCTTCACAACCACAACGAACATTTGAAGATCTTAACCGAAAAGAGTACAGCTGAGCTAACCTTGTTTACAATGTGGTCAAGAACGGTGACAACGTTGACTAGGGAAGGGTCCAGCCCGATCTCCTCCTTGGCCTCCCGGAGGGCGGTGTCCACATCATCAGCATCCGCTTCATCTCTTTTCCCACCGGGGAGCGCAACGTCGCCTGCAACCAAACACACCCTCTTTCAGTTATTCTTCACAAATGGTGGAACTGGTCCTGCTACAGTAATGTGAAGCGATTTGTTTTGGAGGCCGAGGGTGATCACCAGGGTTGGAAGAGAGAGATGAAGATCGTTTCGTGAGAATAACGCGCAGCTCACCGTCGTCTCCTTTGAACAGACACACCAGAATCGCCGCCCGTTTGCTTGTTGAAGCGGAGGTGGCGGAACCGGTAGGAGGTGGAGGTGATTTGACCGATTGTTCGAGTCTGAAACTTTGTGCTAGAGTTTGGAGTCTCACTTCAACAGAACTCATTATTTTATTCAAGGCTTTCTTTCTGAAAAAAAGAAGATATTTGTGGGCTATATAGCCTTCCCTTACTCTTCACTTACTCTTAACTCCAACCTTAAACAACATTAAATTCTAATAAATTTTCAAAACCGAACAAATTACACAAACCAACCAGTCATCCAAACAAACTTTAACATACACACCAACCAAATTTCAATACACAAATCAACTAATTAAACTTCAATACATATACCAACCAAATATTTATCTCATTATTTTGACCGAAATTGCAGCTTTTCGTGGTATAGAACTAAAACGACGATCGTTTTTTAGCAAACCATCGATAGTGAGGTAAATAGTATTGCAGGAATGACGATCGTTTCCAATACAAATCGATAGTGAGGTAAATATTAATGCAGGAATGACCATCGTTTCCAGTACAAATCGATACGATTCGTTGACAATAATTTACGGGATTGTCGTATTTCTATCTACAACTCTAGGAACCTTAAAACGGGGATTTTGCTCCACAAAATTTGGTGGCCGTTTGTATACAACTGATGCGGCCCTAATCAAGATACCAGCGGTTAGGCCCCAAATCATGTACTTCTTGTTCTTGGTTTCGTAGTCGAAGAAATGGATCAGAAACTTGTCTCCCATCCACTCCCTCTCCTTTGACGTCCGGTTTTCATCCTGAAGAAAATGTATACAAAATTATCTTTAAGAGATCAAAAGATACATAATCTGTAATCGGAGTATGAAACTAAAAAGAGAGAAACCTTGAGGAACATTTCCAAGGGAGCATCGAATACCGCTTCCACTTCAGCAGGATTTGGATTCGGCTTGAATGCTTCCTTCTCATTAAGTATGCCAATAACCGGAACAACCCTAAGTAGATGCTGCACGGAAATCCAATGGTTAGCTAAATCGAGTTCCTCATCCAGAATAGTCTTTCAGAGCTACAAGTCTGACACCGAAATCTGCATTATACATCGCCTATAACGGCTATGTACCCTATTTTTGAAGTCATTCAAAGCACTTACTCAACAAATCAGACAAACTACACTGCTCTTCCCCAAGACCGGCTTCTCAAATTTTGAACTTGTGTGAAAATTATGGATTCGGAGGATGTATCTCGAAAATTCAGATGCACATGATTAAAATTAGTAGATATTAAGGACGTGTACTTAACAGATCAACACGAAGAACGAATGAGTACATTACAAACTAAATGACCGTGTCAGCCAGATACTTCTTAAAGAACGCCTCCAATCTACCAATATGATTACTCAGTTTTTCCGAAAACTAATACCCTAAACCTTACATTCAAACTCATTCGAATGCAAACGAAAAGTATATGATAAGTCCCGAGCCTTTCTTTTTAGTCTCAACTCAACTCAAGTTCCCAACTTTCACCTTCCAATACAAAGAAACTAACGCATCAATCTGCAATTTCGCAAACAACCCATAATTCGATTAACCAAGTTCTGTGTCCACTAATTGCACACATTTGAGCTCAATCAAACTTAAATTTGTAACAAATAGTGATGAAAGATCAAACATTTATACCTTCGATAAGAATGGTTCAAGAACTGTCACAACATTGACAAGTTTAGGATCCAAACCAATCTCCTCTTTCGCCTCCCTCGTCGCCGTGTCCCCATCGTCCTTGTCCCCCTCCTCTGTTTTCCCACCCGGCAAAGAAACTTCACCTGCAGAAACACAAAACCAAAAATTAAAAAACCAATCTTTCCCATTTCCTTTTTATCAATTTCCTCAATTTTCTCAGGAACCAAACAAAGGGGTAATGAAAACTCCACAAACCCGAGTGAGTGGAAAGCCCCGACGACCGCTTAGTGAGAATGACGCGCAGATCGCCGGCATCCCCTTCAAAGAGACAGATCAAGACGGCGGCTCTTTTGGGTCTGAACTTTTCTGGGTCCCTTGCAACAGGGGTGTCGGACTCGGCAAAACCCACCTGGGACACGACCTTGCCGGCGGTTTCTTCGATTCTCTGCTCCTCAATGTCGTCGTCGGAGGGAAAAGGCGGCGGCTTGTAGAGGCGGAGCTGCTGGGCTAAGGCGATGAGTCTCTGTGAGCCTCCGCATGCATTGGGCAGCTCCATGAGTAGTGGCGGCGGTGGTAGTAGCCTCCCGAGGATTGAGATCATGGGCCGCGCTTCTGCATATTAATTATAGTAGAAGAAGAATACTTAGTAATTGCCGACGGGCGGGTTTTTTGTTGGCTCACGAGTCACTGAGTCAGCATAGGCTGTGGAAATGGTCTCAAACTTCACATTTGAGCTACCTATGTTTTTAGACCTAGATTGAAAAGCCCCTTAAACTACCGTCGTTTAGTCATTGAATAATATAAAAACAGATGAACGTAATTGGAAAAGGCATTACGAATTGTCTATGTATTTTTTTTTTAACAAACGATATTATCTACACTAAATGAGCAAGCAATAATGTGGTTCAAATTCACATTTGGCGAGAATCAAATATAAAACCTTTCACTTACACGTAAAGAGTAATATCACTAGACCGTAGTACTAAAACTAAGGTCATTTAGCTAATCTATTGTAGCAAATACATATGTCATTTAGTACTATGGTCTTCACTTGTAAGTGAGAGATCTTCGATTCTCATCACAGACAAAGTTGAACTACATTATTATGACAAGCCCATTGTAAGAATTAGTTTACTTTCTCACATTCTTAGTGTAGACACAATCGTTTGCTCAAAAGAAAAATAAAAAATCGTATTGCTACATTGGTTCAATGCCCGGTTTGTGCCACAAATCGGACCGGCTGCCCCCTAGCTAGTAGACCGAGCCACAGTGCTTAAAATAATAGTTGCACGTAAAGAGCAATAATATCAAGAATAGGACTTCGCTGCTGAAATTTCAGCAGGAGGTTTTGTTTACACCTAATTTCAGGTGGATACGTGTCTAAGTTTTTATTTTTTTAATTAAAATTTGGACACCTATCTGTTAACCTACAGAAATGTAGTGAGAGATAGAGAAGAGACTTGAGAGATTATAGAGAGAGAAGTAGAGAATGGAAAGCTTCAGTATATTGATTTTCTTAATCCCTACGTAAGTACACTCAACAGTATTTATACTTCTCACTACTTCTATCACCTTAACTAACTAGCTGATACAAGTGGTAAAATCACAGCCACACAACCTATCTCTATCACTATCCACTCGGTATTGGGTGCAAGCAGGAATTCCCGCTGAAATGTTCAGCAGCAAAGTTACTTCCTAGTATCAAGTGGTCTCCTCCCGCATGCAATATACCGTCTAAAGTTGCAGCAAGACAGTAGTGTGTACCCAACTTCTTTTTCTTTACTCCTCTGGCGCAACTCAGCTGCGCATGCCGTCCTTTTGGTACAAACTAAATTCAATGCTAACTGTTGTAGTCCTCGATCACTTCGATCACAAGAGCCTCGGTTGAATATGATCTCATACAGAAAAGCATTATACCTTCCAACCTTCCGTGTATATGCTAATATGGTGCAATACATATTGATCTTAGTAATTAGGGCTCACATCTTCTAGCGATTCCTTGATTGCACTGATATTGTTATCAATTTTACTACTTAGGTTCATAAATGGTGTGATTAGGTAAATAATCAACGTGAAATTTTATGGCGAATAAAATTCAATTTAGAGGGTTAATTACCATTTATATATACATTTTACTTATAGTGATCTCTTTTTTGATGTGAGATAATTTGCATTTGATCGATAGTTTGTACTCTAATCTAAGAGAAATTATTCAGTCCGGAGACCAAACCAAGTGACTTATACGGCCCACACACAAAAATCATCGCTTATCCCACTCCCTGATTTTTCATGTTCACCTAGCTCTATTTGTGCCCCGCCCCCACCTCACACAACACCAATGACCCACCATCAACAGTGATCTCACACAAGAACCTCTCCTAATCTAGAGTTTAGAGGGTCCCATCGAAAAGGTGATGTGTCTAGTTGACAAGGGCAAGAGTTGCTTGCTTAATAAGCAAATGGAGACATGAACTCCTCCCAAGAAGAAAGCAGACCAAACCAACACATGATTGACAGTCAGTTTCCTTTCGTTGGTGGAATCTTTACTATCTTGTCTATCTTTACCACTGTAGGGTTTTACTTGTGACCAGCTTTCTGAAAATCCACCAAGAAAAAAAACAATCTAACTTACTCGATAGTTGCAGCAGATCGGGTTAATTAAGAGGTGTGACATTTGCATGATCAAGTCAGCAAGTAATTAGAACTAGAGTTGGCGCCAATATTCCTGTTTCATACAAGAGTTTGGAGCTGAACAAGTAAGAAACAATTTAGAAACCCGACTTTTCTGCATTAATGTTATGCTTAGCTTTTAAAAGGCTATCTTTATGATCTTTTTTGCTTCCTCAGACCGTGTCATGCCTTCTTTATCAAACATATCTCTCGTTTCATAGCTCGAAAATTTAGAGTACGTAAATATTGTATGGTGTGTGATGAATTTAATAGTTAGATGTGCGCTGAAAGATCCAAGAGAATTGAACGGATGAATCTGAGCCCCTTAGAAATCACTGTATAATGTACATGTATATATAGTAGGACTTGTCACCCCTATATCGCTGGACTATTTGCACTAGTGTCTTCCATAAGAGAGAGAGAGAGAGAGAGAGAGAGAGAGAGAGAGAGAGAGAGAGAGAATCTTACAACAAAGAGAATCAAAGAATGAGAAAGAAGAGAATGGAGATTATCAGCATGTTCAAGACTTGATGGCTACTTCAAAATCGGCATTCAAGCAACAGCAGGTCGACAATACGAGATATGGGAAGATTGTGAAAGTTAACGGAGGCCACATTGTCCGATCCATGGCAAGAAAAGACCGGCGCAGCAAGGTTTACACTTTGAAAGGTCCGAGAGACAGGAGGTTCCGGCTGTCACCTCATACTGCTATACAGTTATATGATGTCCAAGACCGCCTTGGCTACGACCGCCTGAGTAAAGCAATTGATTGGCTCATTGAGAAGTCCAAAGAAGCAATTGAAGCACTCTCTGGGTCTGAACAACCTTGCCAAGATTAC